AGGTGGCAGGCTAATGTCCATAAGTTAGAAACATACTTTTGACCAGAGTCTGGGTACATCGAGAAGACTTACCACCTAAGATTATTTGTTTTAAATTTTAGAGTCCATAAACCCCCAGAACGAAGTTGTATATATCATATATTTCATGCTCGTAAATGGTTTTCATTTGTAAATGGTTTTGCACATAAACGTATATACACACTCTACTTCTTTAATAATAGGCATGTTTTTAAGTGCTTTTTTATCTTCTATTATGAAAACATTCAAACATAAAAAGGTAGAAGTCTACAATGAGCTCTCATATTCTCAGCATTTTATCGCCAACCCTACCCCTCTCCCACCGCACACGCACTGGATTATTTACAAACCAATCCTGGACATTATATCATTTAAGCATGTTTCTTTAAAAAGGCATTTGGAAAAGGAAAGAGAACACATTACAAAGTCATGAATGTATATACTGCACTAGGAAGATGATAATCCTACTTTGCAGATTTCTTTTCCAACCATTTTACTGTAGGAACCTTTTTGCCTAAAGTAAGTTTCTCACTATTTCCTGAACATGCTAATGACTTTTTCTGTGGGATGTTTTGCCACATTTTTTACTCATCTGGAGACTGCTGTCTGCCCATCTAAATGGTGTCCTTTCAAGGTTTGACTCTTCCTGCTTTCTCCATGAAGCTTTTCCTGACTTTTTCTTATGAAAATGACTTCTTTTGTCTACATAGCTCACTTCCACATTCCACAATGAGTTGCTATTTACTTTTTAAAGTACATGTTCTGTTTTAACTTGATTATAACTGCTATGTGCCTCAGTCTCATGTATAAAATACAGGTAATAACATCTACCCCAGATACATGAGGATAACATAAAACAAGTGCTCAGTGAATATCAGTAATTATTATTGTTAGCCATAAACTCCTGCAGGGAAGGAATTATACTATGTATAATTTTTGTTTCTGTTTTTTTGTTTTTGTTTTGACACAGAGTCTCACTCTGTCGCCCAGACTGGAGTGCCGTGGCATAATCTCGACTCACTGCAACCTCTGCTTCGCGGGTTCTTGCAATTTTCCTGCCTCAGCCTCCTGAGTAGCTAGGACTACAGGAACACACAGGCACACCAGGCTGATTTTTTGTATTTTAGTAGAGATGAGTTTCACCATGTTGCCCAGGCTGGTCTTGAACTTCTGATCTCAAGCAATCCACCTACCTCGGCCTCCCAAAGTGCTGGGATTACAGGCATGAGCCACCGCACCCCGCCCTATGTGCCGTTTTTTAAATCCCCAGTGCCTCATTTCCCAAAGTGGATACTAAATACACAGTTATATTGGCTGTGAGGAAATCTTCTTTATTTTCTATGAGGTCATTATCTAATATTATTTATTAATATATTCATATACATGTTCAAAACATGACCTTTGAAAGATAAGCATTGAGATACTGTGCTTTTTATGTAGAATTGATCATTAGCTAATTAGTTGATATATAATAAAATGTATATCACTGGCTTTCACAGGTTTAAGTTTAAAACCAAAGCTATGTTAAGTTTTATCTTTGTTATATCCATTTTAAAATGCATAGAAAAACTAGTATTAAACTGGTAATTATAAATCATTTTTGTCTTTTTCAGATCATAAAAGCACTTAGATAATTTGAGAAATCCAGAAAAGTTGAGAACTATGTTAAAAACTATTCAGAGATGGGCAGACACTGTGGCTTATGCCTGTAATCCCAGCACTTTGGGAGGCTGAGGTGGGCAGATCACTTGAGAATCAGATGTTCGAGACCAGCCTGGCCAATGCAGCAAAACCCCATCTCTACTAAAAAAAAAAGATACAAAAATTAGCCAAGTGTGGTGGCACATAAATTTAATTCCAGCTACTGGGGAGACTGAGGCAGGAGACTTGCTTGAACCCAGGAGGCAGAAGTTGCAATAAGCCAAGATCACACAACTGCACTCCAGCTTGGGCAACAGAGCAAGATTCTGTCCCCCATCCCCCCAAAAAACTGTCCAGAGATAATCACAGCATTTTCCTGCCTTCTTTGCATAAAGGTTTGCATACCTTAAGATGTGCTGTCTGTGAAATCTTTGATCCCCTTTTGCTTACCGCTTAGCATTGTGCATAAGCACTTTTTGTCATTGAGAATATTGGTAAATAATGTGTGTGTGTGTATATTTTGTGTGTGTGTGTGTGACAGTCTCGCTCTGTCGCCAGGTGCCAGGCTGGAATGCAGTGGTGCGATCTCGGCTCACTGCAACCTCCGCCTCCCGGGTTCAAGCAATTCTCCTGCCTCAGCCTCCCGAGTAGCTGGGACTACAGGCATGTACCACCACGCCCAGCTAATTTTTGTGTTTTTTTTAGTAGAGACAGGGTTTCACCATGTTGGCCAGGATGGTCTCGATCTCTTGACCTCGTGATCTGCCCACCTTGGCCTCCCAAAGTGCTGAGATTACAGACGTGAGCCTCGGCGCCTGGCCACTGTAATAATGTATATATTTTTTAATTTTTTCAGTAGTTTGCACATATTTATCATAAAAATACATAAAAGATTATAAAGGACATTGGAACAGTTTTTAGTTGTCTGTTTAAGATTTTCCTGGCTCTTCTTGCTTTATTTTTTCCACATGAACTTCAGAATTCATTGTCTGTTTAAAACATAATTTATTAGGGCCAGGAGCAGTGGCTCATGCCTGTAATCCCAGCAGTTTGGGAAGCCGAGATGGGCAGATCACAAGGTCAGGAGTTTGAGACCAGCCTGTCCAACAAGGTGAAACCCCATCTCTACTAAAAATATAAAAATTAGCTGAGCGTGGTGGTGCATGCCTGTAATCCCAGCTACTCAGGAGACTGAGGTAGGAAAATCACTTGAACCCAGGAGGTGGAAGTTGCAGCAAGCCAAGATCGCACCACTGCACTCCAGCCTGGGCAACAGAGCAAGACTCTGCCAAAAAAAAAAAAAAGGATAACTTGTTGGATTGGGTTCACTTTAAATTTATAAGTTGTCTTTACAGTGTTGCCTTCCAGTATAAAAACCTGGTTTACCAGTTTTCTTAATCCATGTTATGTTGCTATTTAAAAAAACTGAAATTGGGTGACCAATTATGAAAAAAGGTTAATTTAGCTCACAGTTGTGCAGGCTAAGAGGTTGGGGCTTGGCCCTCCTTCTGGGGAGGGCTTTTATGATTCATCACAACCTGGCTAAGAAGGTCAAAGGGGAAACAGACCTGGTGAAAAGGAGGGAGTAGCATCATAGCTTTATAACAACTACTCTCTCTGGAAAGAATTTATTTCCTGGAAAACAAATCCAGTCTAGTGAGAGTGAGATCTCAGTAACTGGAGAGCAGCACCGTGACATTCATGGGAGAGCTACGCCTCCCAACCCAAACACCTCCCACTAGGCCCCAAGTCCCAACACTACCATACTGAGGATCAAATCTCTACCTCAGCTTTGGTGGACACAAAAACAAAAAACCGTATCTAAACCACAGCAACAGTTTCTTCTACTTTTATGTTCTATTTTAAGATTTTGTCAGTTTTTTGTTTTTTTTTTAATGCTGATGTTGCACATTTCTTGTGAAGCTTATTTCTAGATATTTTAACTGTTTGTTCTGGATGCTGTCTTTTTCCATTGTCTTTCTTCTGAATAATGTGATTATGCAGGCTATTGAGGTATATATTTTAATTATGTACCCAGCCACCTTACTCAGTTTCCTTTACATCTATAATTGTTTTTCACCAAATTCTTTAGGGCTTTTCAAGTAAGCACTCAGCCAAAAGTACCAATTTTACGTAACTAAGTTTCGTTATAACTCTTACGCTTTCTTTTTGTTTGTTTGTTTTTTAGGAAGTGCCTCTAAGTTTAGTAAACAAGCATATTGCTGGCAGTTGTGTGAGACTGACATATTTTATCTACCTGTATATGATGAAAATGTTATTCATTGTTATATATACAGTCATATTCTTGCACTTTCTTAATTTTATTTTTTCAACTGTCTCTTTTTGGACTTCTGTGAAATAAGCACATGGTTGGTGCTGAAGAGTCAGAATATGATAACCTGATAACACAATGTCCATCCTTCAGAGATGAGTATTATAATAAAGGTATCAGTTTGCAATGAAAATAGAAAAGAGAGTTCTACATAAAATAAGAGAAAGGAAATAACTGGATTCAAGGACACTTTCTTTAAAAGGTGATGCTTCAGCTGAATTTTGAATAGAATAAGTCCACCTCCATTTACTTTAACTGGAAATCTATGATTTTGTTTGACTATGGAAACTTATGAAACTTAACGTTTCTTAGGATTCTTGTGTTAAATTTTAACTTTTGGAATAAGAGTGGAACTATTAAATACAAGCTAAGTATCTTTTATCCAAAATGCTTGGAACTAGAGTATTTTGGATTTCAGATTTTTTTGTGGATTTTGGAATAATTGGATTATACTTACTCATTGAACATCTCTAACCAGAAATCCAAAATACTCCAATGAACATTTCGTTTGAACATTATTTTGGCACTCAAAAATTCTGATTTTGGAACATTTTGCATTTTGAATTAGGGTTGTTCAATCTGTAATGAATAACTTTTAAAAAACCAACAGTGAAAGAGCAGGTGCTTGTTTCTTTCTCCAAAATCTATTAGCCTTATATTTGTCAACTCGTGGAATATGATAGCTTAAATTTAAGGCATGTTTATCCTAGAAACAATTCAGAATTAAATGAAACTTCAGTCAGCATTTAAGTCTGTCTCTCCATCCTCCACCCAGCCAAAGACTTAGAAAAGCTAGTAACTTCACTGAGGTCATAAAACCAGCTGTTGTCAGAGCTTAAAGACTGGAGAAGACCTCAAGATTCTGGTTTTAAGTGTTGTCAGACGTGTCATTCCGCTTGCCTTCTTGAAGAAATAAAAGCATCATTCTAAATGTGGAACTGTCAGGCATTTTTTACCAATGCAGTTTTTCTTGTGATATTAATTTTTCTTTTCTTTTTTTTCTTTTTAGTCTGCCATTTTCAATTTTCAGAGTCTATTGACTGTAATCTTGCTGCTTATTTGTACCTGTGCTTATATTCGATCCTTGGCACCCAGCCTCCTGGACAGAAATAAAACTGGGTATGTTACTAATGATGCCTAATCACCCAAATTAATTCTTACAGATGTTGAATGTAAATTAACATATAAATTATTAGATAATTTAATTCCTATGTGTAATTTGGTTTTGTAATAACTTTTTTCATTTTCTCCTTTTTAAAAATTCAAAAATTTTATATTCACTATATCTTATTAAATTAAAAGTTAAATTTCAGAAGTAACCTGAAATGTGTTGAGTAAAACATAGCATGAGGGATTTAACCTACTGAAGGTGAATATAGATGTTAGTTGTCCATCATTTTTTATGATAATACACCATTTTCTTTGTAGACATTGTCTTCTCTTCATTCCACCTTTTTCGCTAAAGTCTCATTGCATTTATTCTTCAGTACTTCACCCATTTGTTAAAATTATTTGTTGCTTAGCTGTGCATGAAGTCTTTTTATCCAAGTAGACAGTTTCATTTCATCTTTCCCTTCTGTACCTGTTAACTTAGAATTAAAGCATATATATGGTAGACTTTAGTAAACACTTACTCCTATTGATGAGTGATTGGAATTCTAATACAATGCATAATGTCTATCTACTAAGAAATGTTAAGTGTTTATCTCATTAAAGAATAATTACATAGTAGCAGAATACTTTCCTTATGCTATTACGTAAATTCTTCAAAGTAATTAGGTTGCATGTGGAAATGTCTGCTCCTCATTCCTTTGGGAGCAGGAATATATTCATAACATGCTACATTAACAGAGGAGTTCTCAGGGCTGCCAACCTTCAAGTAAAGGTTGAGTGGTAGTATATTTCTCCTACATAAAAGACCAGAAAGAGCATGCCTAGTTTTACATTTTAAAGTATGTACTAATACAGTCAACTTTTTGAAAGCTTTTTTTAAAACCTTTATTTCTGCTTATATACATGTTAAGCACCATTTTATTTTGATTTATAACTAAGAATTATTTTGTGTAGAAGAAATTTGTGTAGGCCTCTTATCGTTCTGTTAAAATTACATGTTTTTATGAGACTCATAATAAACTTTTATTATAGTGAGAATATATACCATGGTTAGGTAGAGATACCTAGACAGATAGGATAAATTTCTCGATTACTTCACTGTTTAAAATAACTTCCTTTTTTTTTTTTTGCTATTACATCAAATAATGTGGAACTAAGCAGCAGAAAAAAAAGATTGCTACATTGTCTTTATCCTGGTTTCATAGACCTGATAGCATTATCAACAAATACATTTATTGGTATTTAGCCACAATAAATAAGCAACATAATTACATTTTTTAAATCAACTAACAGGGTGTGTGTGTGTGTTATAATCCTTTTGTACCAGTTTCTTAATGATATTTACTTCTAGAATATTAGACCCTTAAAGACCTTCAGTTTGTGATCTTATGGTTGGTTTCAGACTGTGTTCTGTGGCCCTGTGTTTCCTATGTAGGCTCTTCAGGTGCCCTGTTCGAGGTCCCTCATCTGACTCCTTCAACTAGAGTAGCTTCACGTTATTAATGCATGTTTTAATCAATGGGTTCTAGAATCAAGGAACCATGGCTTTGCAAATGCCTAGCCTATTCCATTGTTTGATGAAGAAATGTTAGCCAATTTTAAGTGATACCTAGAGTTTGATACCTAGAGTTATCATCACATGTACCTTTAGGCTATATATGAACATAGTATGTGTAAGTCACCATTCTAAGGGCTTTCCGTGTAATCACTCATTTCATCCTCATAATAACCCTTTGAAGGTGGGTACTGTTGTTAAAGAGACAATACCTTGCTCACAGTTATGCAACCAGTAAGTAGGATTGAATTTAAGCATAATCTGGCCTTTAGTTTATTTTCAGGCTAAAAAATTTTCCTGCAGAAATAAAATTTTTTAGCAGACTGTTCATAGTTTGAAATAAACTCATGTTTTTGCTCATTTCATTTAATCTAAACTATATATATTCCAGTTCATAGCAGTTTCTATACATTGATGGTTGATATGCCAAGAGACCTTTTGCTTTGAAATCAGGAAGTTATACTTCAGAGGAAGAACTTAAATAGAACTTAACTGAACCAGAATTTTTTGTCAGTCTTATCCATTCAGATATAATGATTCTCTAGCCCGCCATCTCTTTTGGCCAGAAAAAAGTATACTATACGTTTTTCTGGAATTTAAGTACTGTGATTTTGTTGAGCTAATAATTCGAATTTATATATCATAATATTAATTTATCTTCATTTGCAACCATATGTAACACTATTTATAATTCTGTTATTTTGTCAGACCAACAAAGTAATGTCCTTAGTGTTACTTTTTCAGATGTCTTTATTCACTGATAACTCAACTGGTCTTTTTTTCAAAAGTGATTTGTTGTACATGCCAAATAAGTGATAATTCCATATAATATGTAATTCATAATATATTGATTCATACAAATATAATATCTTCATTCTAATACTTATTTCCAGAATATGTGCTTTAAATGTCATGTTTAGTGAATTTACATAAAGTGTCCCCTAAACTAGGAAATTTTTTACTTATATTGAAAATATAGACACATTTTTAATGCCTTCTTAGTAAATGGCACAAATAAGTAAATACCATCATTGGAATTCATGATTATAGATTATTTAACTTTAGAACTACATTCTGTAAGAAATTAAATTTTAGTATAAATATTTTTGGTGTCACATTCAACCAAAAAAAGTTCATTTAACATTTTATCAAAATTGATGCTTAAATTGGTGTATACATTTTCTGCTTTTGAAAGTATTTTAAGTTAACTGAATAGTAAGCTCTCATTCAAATTTTTGCCACTCATTAATTTGCCCTGGGTTTGACCTATGACACTATTTATATTCCAGTTCATAGCAGTTTCTGTACATTGATGGTTGATAGGCTATGGTGTCCTGCTTTCATACATAAATGGTGGCTAAACATCAAGCAGATTTCAAATTTGAAGCCAAGTGTTAAAGGCTAATATATTAATATACAATTCTCTATATGATATCAAGAGAATGATTTACCCTTCTGAGTAATCAATGGCTACTTTTTTCTTTTTTTATTCTATGCAGATTGTTGGGTATATTTTGGAAGTGTGCCCGAATTGGTAAGTGTCTCATCTGCCTCCATTTCTTCATTTGTAAATTGTTGACCAATTTACTTATGTTATAGTCTCACAAATCAAATGTTAGTTTTAAACAGGCAGGCTTCCCAAATTTATGCATTTTTGCAAAAGTTTGTAAGTTGTACCAAGCTCTTTTCCTTACACTTAAAACCAAATTTGGGCCAGGTGTGGTGGCTCACACTGTAATCCCAGCACTTTGGGAGGCCTTGCAAGCTGGGCAGATCACCTGGGGTCAGGAGTTCGAGACCAGCCTGGCCAACATGATGAAACCCTGTCTCTTTTAAAAATACAAAAATTAGCTGGACATGCACACCTGTAATTCCAGCTACTCAGGAGCCTAAGGCAGAAGAATCACTTGAACCCAGGAGCAGAGGTTGCAGTGAGCCAGATTGCACCACTGCAGTCCAGCCAGGTCAACAGGGTGAGACTGTGTCTCAAAATTTAAAAAAAGAATAAAACTGGATTTGGTGGATACTTCATTAACATAGTGATAGAAAAGTCTCTCTAATTTAGATATCAAAGTCCCTAATTTAGATATCAAATATCGTGCATTCCAGGTATTGAGGGAAATAAATGTATGTGGTTTTATGCACACGTTGATGATAGTATAGAAGTATGGAGTATGCTGTTCTATATATTCTATACCATTTTGATAACTAGGATGTATTCCCATCTAATGAAAGTCTTTCTGAGCAGCCATCTAAGCATAATCACTTTATTACCTTATTTTAAGTTATGGAATGTTTAACTGTTTCGTCTGTTGAACTGGTGTGGTCATAGCCGAACTGTGTGACTCAGGTTAAAGTATTACACTTGATCTTACCTATAAGGCTAAAAAGCAATTAAAGTTTAGCTAGGTGTAGTTGTCATCCAGCTTTCAATGATAAGATTAGTAGCATCGTACCTGTTTTTGTAGATAATAATATATTCCTATCCGGTTGTCCTGTGTATGTAACACTTAACACTGTGCCCAGCACATAATAGACTCTGAAATGATTAAGTGAATGAATTAAAATGTATTTTATTGCTGTCATTCATCAGCATTCTTGAATAATAAATTATACCCTTTTTTAACTTTTTTAATTAAAAAAAAAACTCCAGGCATTTGTACATATACCACTTGGACTGAAATGGAATGTTTCTTATCTGTCCTCTTTGGAATTACTTGCATGACCAAAGAAAAACTGTTTTCTTTTAGTACTCTTCTTATAACATTGAATTTATGCATAACTACTTTTTTCTTTCATAAAGCTGTTAGACCTTTATAATGAAAAATATTTTTTCTACGTTTGACATTTAGTGTGGTTAGCCAGTCTGACAACAGCCTAAATTCTCCAAACTAATCCCTTTAAATAGCATGAAGAATTGAAGAATATCTCCATTAGATAAACTGTGTTCCCTTTAGAGCATTGTGGTTTATTTTTGTTTAAAACTTCTCAGAGATATGGAAAATTTAGAAGATGTCCATAAAGGAAACAAACTTAATGAAATTGAAAAATACAAACTGAGTATTTGTAATACAGGTATACCTCAGAGATTTTGCGTGGCCCATCTCAAGAAATCATTTTCTTTGTTCATAAGAAGCAGTTACTCATGGATTCTGATTTTATCATGAGATTATTGTAATTCAGTCGCATATTCAGGCTCCCCTTCTAATTAAAGTTCTCTTGCTCTTTTCAGCACATCTGCAGTTACTTCTTCCATTGAAGTATTCAGTAAACCATGCTGTAAACAGATGCTGTCATCCAGCCTTAATTGTTCCATTTCTAGAGCACAGGCAGAGCAGATTTAGCATAATTCTTAAAAGCTGTAGAATTTTCAGCAGGTGAATGAGCATTGACTTCAGCTTAAAGTCACCAGCTACGTTAGCCCCTAACATGAGCCAGCCTGTCCTTTGAAGCGCAGAGGCCAGGCACTGACTTCTCCTCTCTAACTGAGATGCCATTTTTTCCAGTAGAAGGCTATTTTGTCAACATGGAAATCTGTTGTTTAGTGTAGCTACTTTCATCAATTATCTTAGCTAGTTTCTGCATAACATGCTGTAATAGTTTCTTAACATTTATCAAATAACTTTGCCATCTTATATGCGCACAGTTTATGGTGCCCCACAGCAATTACAATGGTACCAAGAAAGATCAGTGATCACAGATCACCATGAAAGATACAGTAATAATGAAAAGGTTTGAAATATTGGGAGAATTACCAAAATATGACACAGAGACACAAATTGAGCACATGCTGTTTAAAAAAAAAAAAATGGCACCAGTAGACTTGCTCAGTGCAAGGTTGCCATAAATCTTCAGTTTTTTTTTAAAGGGGCAGTATCTGCAAAGTGCAATAGAATGAAATTTGTCTGTACTTAGAGATTTTTTAAAAGAAAACCTGGGAATTGATGTAATATATCTGAAGATGGTTATATTATAAACTAGTCTTCAAATCTTTAAAGCACCGTCTAAGGTTCATATGCTGTTAGCTATTAAAATAATTTCGAGAGCAGGTTTTCTTCCCTTAAGCTTTTAAAGATAGGCAAGGCCCATTAATGATGGAAATTGTAAGCATAATACTAAATTATCCAGAAGTCCTTTCTAAATCTGTGATGATGAAATCATAAGATTCTTTGGCCTTTCCAGTTTCTTGTTATGGTAAATGAAAGTATAAGCATAAAGGGCTTCATAGAAAAGTACTTCTTTCAAGGCTGTCGTTCTAATATATTGACTATTGAAACAGACTTTATCTTCCAGAGAAATAAGTATGATTTTAACGTATTCAACTATTCTTCCTCAGTATTCTCCCTTATGGTGATAGGTGTAAGAGTCTTTCAACAGGTAAATTCACAGATGATATAGCCTAGATAAGTAGTTACCAGTCCAGTACATTTGACAAAATAGACCATTTTGATAGTCACAGCTGGACTCAGGGACAGATAGTGGGTAGAGGTCAGGGATGTTGCTAAGCATCCTAGGATGCACAGGGAATCTATCGCAACAGAATTATCAAGTTCAAAATGACCATAGTACTGGAGTTGAGAAGGGCTGGTCTAGATTTACAGAAATTTGTGGTGCAGACTTATCCAGCACTCGGTTATAAACAACTGCAAACCCTGAAATAACAGGAGAAATCTTTAGCACTTCAAAAAGAACCAAGAAGAGTGACAAAATCGCATCCTCAATGGCTAATACTGATAGTGGTAAATGTAAATACACACACCAAACTGCATGCTTCAGAGAAAAGTTACTCTGAAAAAGAATACAGCCAAGAAACAGTGGTAAGAATACTTCAAGTAAAGTACAAAGAGAGAAAATAATGGAAGAGCAGGTCTGGAGTTAAGAGGCATTGTTTTCATTTCAGTTTTATTAAGTTGCTAAAGCATAAAGAAAATATTTAAGTATTTTAAATCCATCTTATGTCGTAAGAGAAGTGTATACAGTTCCATTTAGTAGCCAGCCCACACAGCGCTTTTGTTTAGTTATTACTTGAAAAGAGTACTGCTGAGTTTAAGGTATCTAATTTGTATCTTTTAATGATTTCCTGTAGTATGATCTATTTTTATGTCTAATTATAAATAGTGTCTAATGTCTTTTTTTTTTTTTTTTTTTTTTTTTTTTTTTTTTTTTTTTTTTTTTTTTTTTTTTTGCTTTTTATTATTTTCATTTTCCTCTCTTGAGTATATGAATGCCATAGGTTGAATGGCTCATTTTAAATGTTCATTTATGCCAATTATGTGAAAGCATTAGCTTTTCATTTTGGCAAAGTGACTTAGAAAATGTGCTGATATGCTGCTTTCTCAAGCATATGCTTCTCTCTTATCTTGACGCAGAATATATCCACAAAGAAAGGATGCAATTTTAATGGGAAAAGACCTAGCCAAATCATCTTATCATGTTACACATCACATTACGGCGACTGTTTTACATTCACTTACGCAGACCTAAGACCAGACAAAAAGTAACATTTTTACCCAAGTTCAACCAAAGATGTTTAGCTCTACCACATGGCAGTCTCTTTTAAGAAAATTAAAAACAGGAAAATGAAATCCATATGTAAATTATAGCATTCTAAGTTGAAGGATGAGGAAGAAGGGAACTTCCTCAAAAATTAATTTTCACCATATGGAAAACTTAGGACAGTATTAATTTTTTCTTTTAAGTATTTAATGAGACTATATGAGACAATGAGGGTGTATAGCCCTAGTAAGAGTGACAGGATTGCTTATGAAGTCTTTCTGAAATTTATGTACAAATGAGGTTGTTTTTGTTTTGTTTGGTGACTTGGGCTTTTTCCTCTAGGAGAATTTGCATTGTTTAAAAATTGTGATCCAAGATATTTTTTTAATTTCTGTGTTTTCATTTGAGGTGATGGCATTGTAAAAATACTTTTACTTTCTAGATTTTTTTTTTTAGCCAGAAGGCAGATGGAACAGATACTTTCAGAAAATCCCCGAAAGTTTATTTTTTTGTGTATGTATTTAATATTTTCTATAGAAATTATTAAGCAGACACAAATATGTAAATTCAGTAACATGGCAGTGTAAGGTCAGTGAGGAAGATACAAAAATGAAAATGACCTTAAGAATTTTAGTTAATCAAGATGGTCAGGAAGAACATTTTCTTGAGGTAGTTTGCTGAACTTGCTAAGTGGAATCAGGAGTTTCATTAAGAGTTGACTGTAAACATTATAGTAAAGCACAAGTGAAGGTGGCATAAACCATCTCTACTAGAGGATGCCAGGCACATACCCAAGATTATTTCTAGAAGTAGCTTCTTTTTCCTTTCTTACACTGCCCTCATAGCAGCATATAAATGCCAGGTGCTTTATGAATTAGTATAGCCTTGAAATTATTGAAGGAACAAGAAAGAATGAGTTTGAGTTTACTCACAATGACATGATCTCTATCTATTTGTAAGACAATTCACAGGCCAACTTCAGATTTACTTTATGCAAAGGAAAGCATCCAAATGTAGCATTCCTTAAATGTACGTGAAAAATTGAGTCATACAGAAGTGGTTGGTTTTAGTTCTACTTTTCTAACCCAGAGTAAGCATACTGTAAAAGATTTGATACAAAATCTATCTCAGAAATAGTTTTCCTAACATATTTTTCATTAAGCATTTTAATTTGTTCATTTTTAAAGTGCAGCTTTATTGACCATCCTCTATTTTCATTTATGAATGCTCCCCCTTTCCTGTGTCTTTAAGTGTCATGAATTGCTACCAGTAAGGAAAAATACTCTGTTTCAAATTCCTTTTTAAGGGGTGAAATTTTATTCTTTTTATAGAAAGAAAATAAACAATATTTCTTTGGCCTCAGTTGTTTGAGATTGTTTCTCTTGGATCTCTGTCCTACATTCCGCATTGTATTTTTTAGTGTCTGAGTTTACACAGTGACAAAGCAATGATGCTTTCGAGGTTTTCTAAAGATATGAAGATAATCTGGGAGATAAATTGATATATTAATAGTTTAGCCCACTCTGTATTGTACTTGTTTTTTATGTTGCATCTAGATTTTGTCCCTGCCCCATCCCCAATGTATGGGCCTCCTAGGGAAGAATGTTATCTTGATTCTTATGTATCCCTTCCTTGTAGTAGGTAATAACCTTATCATAGCCAGGTTAGCCACTCAGTTAATCAAGATGAATATCTCCTTTTTTTCAACAGGTGAACGGAAGAGTCCTTATGTTGCAGTATGCTGTATAGTGATGGCCTTCAGCATCCTCTTCATACAGTAGCTGGGGAAAATGCTAGAATATAATTGCCATCAGATTTCATTGTGAACAAGGACTTATTGCAGAAAATAATGGAAAGGATGGTTAACTCTTTTATCTCCGAACATTGAATGAGATACATTTGTAGATGCTGTTCTCTATTTTTATGTTATTGGACCAATGTTCTATATAAATAATTAAGATGTAACCATTTAATACTCTGTAACAATCAACCTCAGTACTGTCACTACAATATTACATTCTGCAAATGTCGTTCTGTTGTGTCAGATACCAAATTTTAGTGAGGTATCACTAAGGCACATAGTAGAAAACAAAATTGGTTAATTACTCATGTTCCTTTCACTGTGATTTGGAAATGATTTAATTTTATAGAATGAGACCCTTTTTTGGACTAGCTTTTTTATTAAAATGGCTCAATTTGTGTTGATAAGGATTGCTTTCATATAAATAGTGCTTACATTTCCTCTGGGCACACCATTTTGATCATTAACCAGAGTACCTGTACTCTTAGAAAACTCTAATTTATGACTATTTAAAATATTTAAAACAAGCATATGGAGTTCTTAAGGAGTAAAATAAATGAGCTGTAACTTAAAAGTAGTATTGGGAAAATGTTGGTATTTAACATTAGTGGATTTAGACTTAGCCAAATGGCATAGCAGTCTCTGAAACCTTTTGTCAAGAATAGGTAAGGACCTCTTGTGCATGAGTTTTTACCAGAGAGCTGCCTGTCTGAAAAACATAACATTCTTAGAATGAAAAGGACAATTATAAAGTAATTATCCTATATGTGTTTTTCATTTTAGTGTCTCATCTTCAAAAATGAAATATTTATTTTAATTGCCCTAAACAAACTATATTTTTGTTTTGTTTTTTGAGGCACTTTAAATCCAGTTTGTGTTTTGTCATGTTGAATCCAAATCTCTTATTACTTTGGAGGTGATAAATAGTTTTCAAATCTACTAAACTGTATACTGTGGCATAAGTATCTTTGAGCCTTGATAGTGAAAGAAGACCAACAATTTTTAGTCTAGGCAAGAGAAACATTAGGAATGTGACTTCTAAATTTTACAATAGAGCAGTTATTTTAAGTTGATGGTTAATATTTCTTAATATTCAACTGAAATTCAGTTAAAATGTCGAAGCTAAGAGGAACTTAAATCTTAGCTAAAAATTACCTGTTGTAGGATTACATTGTTCGCAGCTATTAATTCACCATAAAGGTAAAATGAAGAAACTCTCCCATTTAAAAAACAATTATTTCTAAATTAATCTGCAAGTATTTATGCAGAAACAAAGTATCGAACTGAAAGCCACCTATTTTATTTTAGACTAATTTAAACCACCTGGAATGGATTCTAGGAAACAAGTAAAGCTTGTGTGCTGCCTGTGGTGGTTTTTTGTTTGGGGGTGTTTTTTGGTTTTGGTTTGATTTTTCTGTATTTTGTTTTCTGGGGATTTTTTTTTGTTTGTTTCTGCTTTGTTTGTTTTCTTTCTCTTTTTTTTTTTTTTTTTTTTTTTTTTTGTTATAGGTTATTGGTGTATTTTTTTTATATTTTTGGCATGTCTGTGGCAGTTAAAAGTGGTATATTTGGCTTCAGACAGGTAATCAGGTTATAATAATTGTTCTGCCTCTAAACTGCCTCTTGGGCTTTACATTAGGTCAAGGATTTTCAGGGTTTCTCTAAAGTAGGACTCTTGTCAGCGTATCCATGCTGAGTAAGTCACCTTCCTGGCCCTGGTTTCCCGGTGGCCATCTGTTGTCCAGCTCTGCTGCCAACTGGACTTTCTGAAAGCCATGTCGACTAATTTTTTATACGCTAAGACAAATCTAATATAAAAAGAGGAAGAATATTCTAGATATTCTAAGACATTTCTTCATTTGGCATCTCAGAGGAGGTAGGTGGAAAGTAGAAGAAGAGATAATTTTGGGGGAAAGTTTGTGGAAACATAAAACTTTTTGCTGTGTATAAATGCTAAGCAGTGGGAGGCAGCGTATTTCTAACAACAACCAAACTGACCTTTTGAAACACAAGCTCTTGGGGAAGCCGGGTAGAGACACAGTATGAATAAAAGCAATTAACATTTTCTTTAATGTATTTTTTTCAAAGAGGACCACTAAATCCTGTTCTCTAACCCAAAGGGCAGTGTAGGTGGTTTTAAGCCCACAGAACATTGAAATATGTCTCTTGTAGTCTTGGTGGGGTGGTGGGATGTAGAAGATTGAAGAGCAACTTAATCATCAGATAGAATATCTTTTTTTTTTAACTTTTAGGTTCAGGAGTCATGTGCAGGTTTGTTATATAGGTAAACTCATGTCAAGGGGTTTTGTTGTACAGATTATTTTGTCACCCAGGTACTAAGCCTAGTACCCAGTAGTTATTTTGCCTGCTCCTCCCCCTCTTCCCACCCATAACCCTCAAGTAGGCCCCAGCGTCTGTTGTTCCCTTCCTTGTGTCCCTGAGTTCTCATCACTTACCTCCCACTTCTAAGTGAGAACATGTAGTATTTGTTTTTCTGTTCTGCATTGGTTTGCTAAGAGTAATGGCCTCCAGCTCAGATGGAATATCTCTATCACATAGGCCTGTTGTTACAGGGCAGGATCAGATAATGTACACTGAAGTTTTCAGCTTACTAAGTTCAGTTGCTCTCCCTAGCCTCTTTTCTGGCTTCAGAGTCTTTTGATTCCATCTATCCTGGCATTTTTTGTGTGCTGATATTTAGTTCCGGATTGGCTTCAGCTGTGCTAATAGAAAGGGCATTGTCTTTTCAAGCAATCTTAAAAGGTGTTCAATCAAAAGGCCAGAGTCTGAATCCCTTCTGTAGCCTAAATAATTTGAGGATCAAGTCCAGTGTCTTGTTAATGCCCTGTTCTTCTGTGCCAGGCACTATCTTGAATGCTCTTACATGTTCGAACTCAAAATAGCTCATTTATACTGGGGATTATAGTAACATGCAACTTGCAGTAGATTCCTTCATCTTAGTAATAAGATGATTGGCCTAATTAGGACAAAATAGGGATTTGAGTGAATTAACTTTTCCAAGTTTACAGAGTAAAAATGAGCAGATCTCTGCCTGATTTTGTGAAAAAGATTTAGCACTGGTAAATAGAATACTTTATTTCTACACCATTCTTTCAGTATATCATCATTGAAGACAGGAAGATAGGCACACAGATTCTTCCCCATAGTAATTCATAATGTACTAAGTGAAAGAGAGGAAGTATGTATTACAAAGTACAGTGCAATGGCATTATTCAGATAATCCCAGGATTCTAGAAGCAAACAAAGGTGACAGTTCATTCAGGGTATGAACTTCCAGAGAAGCATTGCTTAAGCTGAACTTGAGAGCGTTGTGCAAAAGCACAGTAGTCTATTAACTAGAAATAACCTAGCTTGTGCCACTTAGGGAGTACTAAGCCATAAGCCTAGAAGAGTGGACAGAGGTTAGATCCTAAACTGTCTTGTGTTTTTCTCATTCCTGTTGATTACCTACCTCAGAAATGAAGTTGAATATGTTTTTCCTCCTTCCTAACACAAAACAAAGACAAAAATTTAAATTCTTTGGTAGATAGGCAAACAAGGTTGAATATATTCATGCCTACCTTATTTTGGACTAGGAATACGGTGGCATACTCTCCAAAGACTTGCCTGAATAGTACGTAAGGTGGAGGCAACTGACTAGTTAGGTCAGTGTATTTAGAAACTCTTAATAGCTTGTACACCACTGATGCCAAAAGCAGCCCTGATTGTTATAGCACACACCTGCACAAGAAGCAGAGATGGTTACATTTTACATTTCCTGGGTACACAAAATATATTTCTAAAAAGCAAGAACTTACGCTTTGTGCAAAGCCTCTGAGAAGGTTTGGGTCATAGGAAGCTTATAACAAGAATGGAAGATTCTTAAGGACTATTCTTTACTTTCTTTAGTATCTAGTAACAGTAGATTTTCAAAATATGTAGCTGATTAATACTAGTGTTGTGAGTGCTGCACAACTGTGTGATTATTACTAAGCAAGTCACTACTAGCTTCTGAAAAGTAGTTTCATAGTTATTTATACACTTCCTTCCATGACTTTTACTTTGCCCTAAACTAATCCCTACAATCTGAAATGCTATTTCAATATCAGAAAAAAGGGGGGAGGTGGAAATATATTTCCTGTGATTTTAAGAGCACAGAGAATCATTCTCATATCTGGCTAGTTCATATGTCTAGTGTGTAATAAAAGTCAAGATGAACTCTTAAGAGCCTCCCACTTTTGTCTTATTGTCAGATGCATGAAGGCAGTTCTTAGAGGTTAAATATGTAAATTTCCACCTTTTTAATAGGATGGGAGTAGAGAAATGTTCTATTTTTTTCCCCCGACCATTTTAATTCATGGAAGGCCAGGATTCGTTTGGGGTTGTTATATTCATTGTTGTTTTGTATCGTAATAGCTATTTGGTCATTATATTGCTATTTCATTGAGTATGCTTTTAAGAACCTAAATGACTCCAGTAGTTTGCTTTTGGGTGTGTAGTCTTAAATTCTCTCAGAGATGGTCAGATTGAATTCTGAATAAAAGTGACAGTTACCAATTACTGACAGTAATTTTCAACCTTGTCCTCAACTGGGAGCCTTCAGATGCCCGAACATTCTGGCAAGTAGCTATCATTTTCTATCTAAAATCTGCTTATGAGCAGTGTCCATCAGAGATTAGTCAGCCAATGTATGCTATTATTAGTATTTATTGAGAAATAAGAAAAGGCTTGTGCCTCGCTTTGAGGAATCTGGTCATCCTGCTGTTAGGTTCCCAAAACTGAATAAACACAGACAAACCTGGTTAGATTTAGATCTCAAAAAATACTTCAGATATAAATTGAAAGGTAGAATCTTAGTTGTTTCCTTCAGTATATATTGTAAACATTCCCTGCTGCTCCATAATACCACCAGTTGATATAAGACATTATAGGGAAATCACTAAATTTCCAATTTCTATTAATAACAAAAGAATTCAAAATGGCTTAGATTAAGACCACTGAATTTAATATAACCAGGAAAGCAAAACCTGTTTTTAACTCAGAGGGTTTACATTAATGTCCTTAACCATAACAGAGTCATCTGGGGGTGGAAGGGAGGGCAAGGGCAAGCAAGAAAACATGAATATTAGAAACAAGGGTCAGTTACTTCACACACACTTTGTGGAGGAAGAGAACACTCACTCAGAAACTATGTATTGCCCAGACACTACTGTTTGAGCTTTGACGAGGGAAGTAGCCTAAAAGCAAATGTTTAGGGATACAGGGTTTGTTCCCAAATTGCTAAAACCTATAATTTACCAGCCACCTCAACTTTTTTGATAACGATAACTAGGCTAAATACTGGAAAAAATTAAAAAGAAGGAAATAGACATGAGAGATTTCAAGAAGGCCAGCATCAAAGAATCTTTGCAGTAACCAAGTGTTAAAGAAAAGTGATCTGGAGGCTCAGGATAACACCAAAATATTTGACCTTGGAAATTAAGTTACAGAGAATAGAATACAACATTCTTTCGAGTTCCGAAAGAGTAGATCACATTTCTTTTTTGGATTTATTTAATAGAAATAGTTTGCTTGTTTTTTAAAAAGTGTTTCTGAAGATGACAAGCATCTTCAAATAAGTTTTATTGAATCTGTTAACATGTAACAAGGAAACTTGACATAGACAACTTAGTGAATTACTAGGCAATTAGTTTGACATGCCATGAAGAACAGAAATTGGGCTAGAACTCAGAATAATCCTGGGCCCCCCTGCTCCCAAAGAATAGAAAATCCCTCTGTCATTCCAAACTCACGAGGAAGAGTGCCCCATATCTCCCATTTCATCCCTACATGAATCCTTTGAGAACAGGCAGTGCGACAGACAGTGCTAGGACAGGATATAGTGTGGAACAAAAGAAATACAGCTGTTGCTGTCACAGATCCTCGATTCTAGTAAAGACCAACTAACCGAATAGCTAATTAGATAAGCATACACCACCTCTAGAACCCTGAAGGATGGTTTAGATGGGGTCATTAGGGAATGCCAGTCCATGAAGTTGATAGTTAGGCTAAGACTTTGTGCAGATGAAAAGCATGAACAAAGAGGCAGATACAGGGAAGACCTTGGGACTCAGAAGGAGTGGAGAAATTAATAGAAAACTAGAATAAAGAATGTTATTTAATGTTACTAATCCTGAGTGAGGCTAAGAATGAAGTAAGTTGGAAAATAAAAATAGGCCAAATCATGCAGGGCTTTGAGCCATAGAGAAGGCTGCCAAACTCATCCAAAGGAATTGACCTTAGACAATTGTAGTAGCTGGTAGAGTAGTCTCTATGTAAGGCTGTTGTTGTTTCTAATGTTGGAGCTGAAATTCACAGGGCAGGTAATTGGGAAGGGAAGGGAAGGGTAGAAGCTGTGTCAGTTCTTGTCATTGATCATGGTACTGTGGATATCCTGCAGAAAGAAGCCAGTGCCCTTCTTGAAGCTAAACTTATATGGCCAAGACGTCAGAGAGGCTGAAGGATGACCCAGGGAAGATAGAATAGTTGTAGGCCCACCTGCCGCCTCACAGTAACAAGGTTTATCAGCACATGTGTGACATCACAAATGAGCTACACAATGACTACAGCTTTACCTCTGTTGGATAAATTTCACCTAAGACTCCCTCCTGTAGTCCACACTAACCAGAACCTTACAGAGAAGGTAGTCTTAGGAAATGAGCAGCTTAACCAAGTTGACATGTTACAAAGTCATGCTCTCTACGACCCTTCAATCCGGACCTCCTGCCAGCAACTCTTTATATCCCAAACAGAATTATTCATCTTTCCTTCTAAACCTGCTTCTCCTGGGTCACCCTATTCTTTTTAACAGCACCACTTTCCTTCTATCTAACATTTTCTAATCTCGTTAACTCCCCTTTTTCCTTTCTCATATACCCCTCTTGCTACCATCAGTCTATAACAGTTCTATCATTTTTACCTCTGCAGTGCCCACCCCAGGTAGATGAGTTTGAACTCAGCAGGTGGTTATACAATCCCACACGTTAATTTCATATTTAGTTTGATATAAGCCCCCCTTCTGGAACACCAAAAGAAGTAAAAGGCCATTTTCCTCTCCAAAAGCACGTACAGGGGAGTGAGTTATAATGAGGAGCTAGTATACTGCTATCATTATTTAAACCAAGAAAAACCCACTGTAGACAAGATGAAGGATTTAATAAAAACTGTGTTCTTATTCCTGATTCTAAAACTTTTAGCAGCTGGGCTTTCCCATGTGGAATAATGTTGCATAAATAACTCCGGAAACAGGCCATGAAGAAGTCCAACAAAATGATAGATGATCTTGGACACTCTGAATATCACACCCAATGGAGTTACAAGGAAATAAGTGCATTGGAAGGCATGGGTGAGCTATGCTGTTATGTATGAGCAGCAGACTTTACCGAACATGACAGTTATCTGAGTCATGTATCACTAATTCTACAGAAGTTTTCTTTCTATTTAAGTATAGTAACACTCCCTAATCTATTCCATAGGGACCTTTTCTGCTCCATCCAAATTTGTCATCTTTTAATTAGTCATGGGAAGCTAGATAAACTGGGTTTCAGAATATAAACATGTTAAGCTTTAAAACTAAGCTCTCAATTGTTATATTTAATTTTTTTAAAGGGGACAAATATCACCGAGTCCATGCTATTTAGTATTCTCGTCCACATAGTCTAGCCAAAGCTCATGTTGCAGTTCCTACTAACACATGTTCGTTTCACTGAAGTGTATATAGTCACAGTTATAGCACAAATGCCCAAAAGGCATTATGAGAAAATAGGAATGAGGGATGAAACATCCACCTAAGAAACTGAATGCAGTTCTCCTTTTCCATTTGCATGATGGAAAAGTGGTGGGAGGGAGCTGCAATCCCTATGGGAGATACAGAACGTGGGGGCAAGTCTCTTCTCCCTCAGGTTTGGGTTAAAAGACCTCCAAAAGCCTTCCCAGCTGGGAACACCAATGACTGTCCCATATTGACAGTACAAGTTGCTCTTCACTGGTCCCCACTTAAATTTCTCAGCTGTTGCTTAAACATAGACAAAGAGCTCTTAGAGAATGAAGACACATTTATTTTCCAACCGTGATCTTGGAAATCCCATTGTGGCTGGAAGTTCTACATTTGTGAAATGTACCCAGGAATTTACCTTCCTAGAAATTATACAAGGGCTCATTTCGGTCTTTTTGAAGAGTTACAGAAGACATTCTGTGAATATAACAGTGGTTACTTCAGAATGAAACATTCATGGAACATGTACTTGTTAATCTTCTTTATGTAATTCTTCGATCAACCTGTTTTCTATGAATATCAGCAAAACCAACTCAACCATTGACTACATTATGCAAAGGGAAATATATACATCAACTTGTAAGAAGATAAGGAGAAGAAAATAGAAAGAAAATTAGTTCTAGGCCTTTCATTTCTCATCATTTGCCCCTACCTGCCCTCCATGTGCAACACACTCATGTAGCAGCTCCTAACTGTGATCATCCTAGCACAGTATGACTCACTAAGTGGGAAAGGCTTCTTATTTTCCTTTGAATTACAAACCCTGTGCCTGTGAGATGGTTTAATAAGCCCCTTTATGAAAGACAAACTTCCATGACACCATTAGTTTCATACCTAAAAAGTAATTTAAATTTTTCCCCTTAACAAAACTAAATTGTAGAAGTCAGAAAATTCAAATATACAAAAAGAAAAAAAAAAAAAAAACACAATATGTTGGCAGGGAATAAAAGAATGAATAGGTGGAGCACAGAGAAATTTAGGACAGTGCAAATATACAAAAAAAAAAAAAAAAAAAAAAGGTTTTTAGTAATCTTACCAGTCCAAAATAACCACCATTAATGGATCATATAAAGATATCCATGTGCAAATAAAACTTTTTATATACGATAAAGTAGTTCTTGCTACTTTTAGCTTTCTTTTCTCCCCATTTAACAATATCATGAATGTCTTTTCACAAATTACTGATTTTTGCTATTATACCATTTTAAAATAATTGGAGAATAACCCACCATAGAATACAACAAAATGTATTTAACCTGTCCCCTGTTATTGGGCACTTAAATTGTTTCAACGTGGGAAATGATATATTTAAAAGGACAACATGGCACAAATCACATTGATGTCTTCTTAAGATTAATTTATATCACATCTACTTAAGTTAAATGGTCATGGTATCCTAAGTTTCTATTTAG